GAGTACTTGATATGATACGAGGATATACAATTCATGATCCAATGGATCCATCGCTGATCACCCAATTTATCCCTTAGGGATTGAGTAGAACTGCATTCCACTCTATCATGCTCATATTTGTCTTTATAGCCATGAATTTGACTTGCAGCTCTGATTGTTTGCTAAACATGAACTTTGTATATATCCTGGTCTCTCTGATTTCTCTATCAAGAAAATGTTGGGCTGATTTAATCTTTTATCAAACTCCCATGTCTCAATGAATTCACAGACCATATGGATGACGTCCTTGCTGATTGTGTTCCAAAACAGCTGGTAGAAAAGTCTTGCCATATCATCAGGAGCTGGTGCCTTCTCTAAGTTAATCGTCAAGATAGCCTATTTTATCTCGTTATCAGCAGGAGGAGCTGTCAACAAAGCATTCATGTCATCTGACATGGACCGGTAATAAACCGGAGACTACTTTCAAGATCTGATGGGTTTGATGTCGCAAAGAGGTTACTGAAATATTCCAGAATTACTTGTTTGATTCCTTCTTTTGTTTCAACCCATTGCCTATGACATTTTTGAGCTTTGTAGATCTATTTCTCGTCCTTCTTTGTTTTTTTTAGCATTGAAGTAACCCATGTTCCTTTCTTCCGCTCTCAGCCAAATACCTCGACTCTTCTGGTACAAATAAATTTCTTCATCCCGATACACTACTCAAAGCTATAATTTTCTTCTTCACTCGACAAGCCATCATTTCTTTGAGCTTGGTTGCTCTTCTTACTCAGCCTCTCTATCACTTTTGCGTTATTTTTGGGTTTTTTCTTTTCCAAGAAGATATAGTTTTTTGGCATTTCTGAATTTTGCCAATACGATCACTTCTACCCGATCGATCATCATGTCTCAAGCCCTCTTTGGCCTTTTCCGTGAACCCATGTTTACCAAACCCACACTTTTCAAACTAAAAACGGTATCTTGCTATTGTTTCATGCATTTAATTCTCGCCAAAATGGGTCGATGATCATAACCCCATCTAAATAAATATTCGACATCAGTGTGAGAAAATAAATGGTGTCATTCTTCGTTTCCAACTGCCTGATTTAGATGACATTGAGTTTGTCCTGATTTTTTCCTTATTGTCCAGAACACCTCATTGCCCATGTCATTCTGCAATTAGACAACATAGTCTTCAATGGTAATAAAGAAGGCTTCAATATGTCTTTGACCTCCCTTTTTCTCCACATGACTTGTATCTCATTGAAGTCCTCCACCATCATCCAAGCACTCGATATTCCTACACTTATTCTTGTCAACCTTTACCAAACGTTTTCTTGGAGTTCTTCCACCAGATCGCAATTAAGAAAAGTGATGTACACTTTGTAACTTCTACTATGCGCTTCAATATCAATCATATGATCATTTGAAGACCCTATCCGTTTTATTTTATTATAAACAAAATTTAATAATGATTACTACATATTTTTTAATATAATTGCAAAAGAGTTACACTTTTTGGTTTTCACATCCTTATAATGTTTATTGTTTGTGTTAATTAGAGCAATTTCTGTTGGAAGTTTCTCAGTTAGGTATCTCATTGTAAATATTGAAGAATAAGAAAATGAGACTATTGAAATATTCATGAACATTATGAAATATGTCTCTTGTTGTTCTAAAAACACGTCACTTATCGTTGTCAAAAAGAAAAAAAACACGTCACTTATAGATTAGTTATAATTTTAATTAAATTTTATAGTTACATTATACTAATAATATTTATTTTTCTAGATATGTTTAGAAGTCATTTTGGAAGAAGTTGTTCGTAAGCCATCTCCAGCTATAACATTATTTTAATGTTACAAAGTATACTGTTTTAGTGGATTGTCAACACTAGCTTTTTTTCTGTAACCATAATTTCAAATTTCACACAAAAAGCTATTTTATGTTATTAAATTAAAATTTATTATTATTTAATATTTAAAATATAAATAGTTCTTTTTGGCAACATAGATCTACACGAGTTCAGTACATGAAAGAGGAGAGGCAGTGAAGAGCTAATTTTGCAATGGAATCAGCTATCACATTTTGATCACGACCAACAAAAGAAATAAAGAAAAAAACTGAAAAAAAGACGATAGAAATTCGATATTTATGAGAACTACGAAAAGTTCCACCGGATATGACTTCGAGTTGATAGTTCTGACGAACTCCTGAGAATAATTCTAAATCTAACTTTGAGAAGAGATGTGTGTTTAGTTTCCACCATAGCCGCCATCATGGCCATCGCTTCCGCCATAAGGGGAGATGAGACGTGCTCAACCGTTCGAGAATTCGTCCTTCTGAGATATAAATAGTTTATTATGTAATTATGTTACGTAAAATTACAATACAAATATTTTAATAATAAAGTATTTGTTATTTTAGTGTATAATATTTAAATACCAATATTAAATAAATTATTTCAATACATATAATATTTTATTATAAATACTTAATTATTATTTTATTTGGTTTTATTTATTTATTTTTATTTATGTAATTGTAAACTTTTATTAATAATTAATTAAATTGTCTTTATTTTGACGAGTAGTGGTCATACAAATAATGTGATTTTTAGTGTTGAGTTGGAATTGTTTTTGTGTGAAAATCATAATAAAATAGAGTTTTAATGTTGAGTTAAAGAGGATATTGAAATATTAAGAGTGGTATCATAATGTTATATAATAATAATAATAATAATAATAATAATAATAATAATAATAATAATAATAATAATAATAATAATAATAATTATAATAATAATAACTTTTTAAGTAAAAATGAAGGGAGATGACTGGAAAAATGATAATCGTTTTTCATGGAAAAATCTTTTAAACAATTCTGAAAAACTCATATGCCATTTTGTATTCTTTAACTGGTCCAATTTTCGTTCTAGCATTAAAATTTAACTACATTAAAAGTTAATACTAATATACTAATTGTAAGATTAGTGTAACTTTTGCTTGCCGGTTTGGTGCAACTCTCATTTTATCTGAATACTAATCCAACAAATGAAAAGAAAATTAACGGTAAAAAATTCTAGATATTATTTGGAAAGTGTTTTTGTCATATGTCATTATTATATTGATTTTACTAGAAAAAGACATCATATAATCATAAAATGACATGGATTGAAGTTAATTGTGACATGAACATTATATTTAATGTTGATTTATATTTTTGATAAAATTTTATAATATAGTAATAACTATATATCATTATTAATAGAATATCTAAACTTCGAAAGGCAACAATCTCAAAATTTTATTTTATAATTACATAATTCTATCTCTAAAACAATTATTCAAATTTCTAAAAAATTACCTTAATTTAATATATAGGTAAATTTAAATTTAACATTAAACTGAAGCAAATAATAAAATTTAAAAAGTTAATAAAAATATAATCTAATTTTTAAAACTTTATTTTTTTTTGGAAATTGTGCATGAGAACATATAATTATTGTATAATCATTTTCTTAGTTTCGTTTCTTTGTGGGTTGATGGCTCTAACACTTCTATTTGTATGCGCAACAATGTAACCGGGGAAAAAGTTGGGATCCTAACACGTTTTAGGTTTGATTCACTTGCTATGTGAAACTAAATCATATTGTTCCTAAATACTTATACGGACATGGACCTCAGGTCCATTTGCATACGCAAAGAGATGATTTATCCATTGGACTGCACCTCTACATAGGGATTAATCACCCCCAAATTAATAAAAAAAGGCACTTATCTGTATGATAATCGGTTCAGTTTGGTACAATCGTAAAAGCTTTTTACGTCTTTTTCAAGATTAACTAGATTTTGACTCGCGCTTAAAAACGCGGAAATTTTTTATGATTAAAAATTTATATAATTAGGTTTTGTTTTAATTTAAAGAATATTTTGATATAAAATCAGTTCACCAAAATTTATGGTGATGGTTGTTTTTCATTAGTTTTTAGTTTCACTTTTTTTTTTAGATTTTGGTTTTTGGTTTTTAGTTTTTAAGTTTCTACTTTTCTTTTTCAGTTTTTTGTTTGGGTTTTTAATTTTTAAACTCGCTGAGTTAGTTTGAACTGATATTAGCAACAAACAAATCTCAAATAATCGAACATCTAATTTCAAACTAAAAAGATAAAAACAAATTAAAAAAATGAAATAGTTTATACTGTAAATAAACAAAGCAAAAAAAAATAGAATATGTGTTTTCAGCTTTTGGTTTTGCTTTACATTTTTTTAATCAGTAAATTATTTAAGAAAAATAATACAATAAATTATTTAAAAGTTACAATTGAAATTTATGAAAACAAAGCGATTGTTATTTAAAATAAAAAAATATATTAACATGTTTTAAAGTACATGATTTAAATAAATGATTAATAATAGATAATTTTGTTTTGTTAAAAATATTAAATATCTTTTGGGTCTGAAAATAATAATTGATTTTTTGATCTTTTAAGGTGAAAAGTTTATTCAATGTTTTTTGGAGTTTTTTCTTAATATTAAGTCCAAAAACCAAACTATATAATTTGTTCAAAAAATAAAAGTAAGCCCAAAACTATATTCCATAAATAACCACTGGTTTAATTTAAGTATAATTAGTAGATTTCCATATTCCATATTTTGATGATATATATTCTTTTTAAACATTCCATATTTGTAGGAGAAAATATGTGTTTTTGGTATACACATAGATATCTGTCGTATTTTGAAGGTAGTTTACATTAAAGTCATCTTTTTACATTAATTGTGTTGGTTTAATTTAAGTAATACGGTTCAATCAATTATATAACTTATATTATTTGTAACATTTTAGAAATGGTCCAAATTTAAATAACAATTTATATAGTAGATAAAAAGAATGAATCTATTTTAATATTAGAATAGATTTCTCTGTGGCACTTCAATAATAAAACGGCACATGACAAAAAAAGTAAACACACTCCGTCCGATTTGATTCGATTACACAAAGAAATGCTTTTGAATATTGGGAATTTGGGATGTCAAGATAATGAAAGCGGACGGTTTATAACAATTTGGTTCTCTGAATGGGTTATAATAGATTCCGGTTCTATTTTGATTAAACTGTTACAACCTACAGCTACTTAACACCGTACTATCGTTTATAAAAGACACAACCCATAAGACACCATTTATCTTACCGGCAACGATGAATCTCTTGAACTCCGACAAGACACCATTTATCTTATCGGACGCTTTCTTGAACTCCTCCGATTTGTGGCCATTAGCTCCGGCGAATCTCAGCCAGCTGCCATTATCTCCGGACGCCATTAACTCCTCCTCCGATTTGTGGCCATTGGTTCCGGCGTATTTCGGCCAGATCCAGTACGAGGAAAGCAACATTTCAGCCAGCGCCGTTAAACTCGAAGATTCAGTTCACTCTAACATCGATGACAAAACGACGTCTCAAAACAAACCGCAAAAGAAACGGGGGAGAAAACCGACGCACGGTAAAGAAGAGCCGATGAACCACGTGGAAGCGGAGCGGCTGAGACGCGAGAAGCTAAACCAAAAATTCTACGCGTTACGAGCGGTTGTGCCAAACGTAACTAAGATGGACAAGGCGTCGTTACTTGAAGACACGGTTACGTACATTAAAGAGCTGAAGTTAAACGTGGAAAACGCTGAATCGGAGAATAACGCGATTAAAATCCAGCTCAACGAACTCAATGAGAAGATTGCAGTAAAGAAAAACGGGAATTTTAGCGTTTGTAGCGGCATGGAAAAGGCGTCGGAGATTGAGGTGAAGATTGACGTGAAGGTTATGGATCGTGACGCCATGATTAGATTGGAATCGAGCAAGATGAATCATCCTGGAGCGAGACTGATGAATGCGTTTATGGATTTGGAGGTAGAAGTGAATCACGTGAGCATCTCCGTGATGAATGATCTTATGATTCAGCAAGCGTCGGTGAAGATGGGGTCGAGGATGTACAAGCAAGAGCAGCTTCGGGACTTGTTGTTGTCGAAGATTAGTTAGGGGTTAAGTTTGTAATTGCTTGAGGTTTATGGGGCTACATTGTAATTAAGAAATTGTACTTTGTTTGTCTCATGACTTCCCAGCCGTTGGATTAGATTTTGTGTACGTCACTTTGGTAATGATATGGATAGGTCTACGTGGCATTCTTAGATTCACAAGCTAGCGCTACAATGATGGAGCTGATAAAATCTCAGCTAGAACCATTGGTAAAGAATGAATTTAGTTGCGAGTTTCGACCTGGTTGGTGATATGGAAATTTTTATGTTTAGAAAAGTAAATACAAACACATTAAACAAATACCATTTCCGTAGGCATGAAAGCTTTGATCGATTAAGCGGTTAGAAAAACACTTAGTTATTTATTAGCCAATAAACATTTTTTTGGTAACGTAACATTTAAAACGGCATATACAAATATTTCGCAAATGTCCATTTTCTATGTTTTCAAATGAAAACTTTAATATAAAATTTTAAAAAATTTTAAAATTGTTATAGGTATGGTGTGTCTAGTCTTTTTTTTTTTTTATAACACTTGTGTATATGAAGAAATAGGTCTGGTACAACAGAAACATTAAAATGGACGAGAGGTCAGTAGACACCATCCCAAAGATATAGAAAAAAAAACCTCACCAAACCCTTGAATGTTGGGCCTCCAAAGCGAGTAGATGATGCATCCATGCCGGGGCGTTACGGACGATGTAAGACTGTTGACGTTGATCGCGGGTGACACTTTCAGCAATTGTTGTTGCAGCCTCATTGCGGTCAGGAAGGACGTGATCCAGACTCCAGGATTCTATTCTTGACAGAAGGTAGACAATACTATGCCTAATATGGCATAAACTCTGCTGCTCTCCATGGTATGTGAAAACATCGCGGAGGTTCTCTGAAGACGTCTCAAAAATGATATTTGTGAAGTGTAAATTATGTAAGCATTCAACCGCCCAAAAAAGGGCCCACAACTCCGCCTCTATTTTTGTATACATGTATGAGTAGGCGCGACGACTATGCATAATTGTACCCCCATTTCCATCTCTTAAGATCCATGAAACCCCACTTAGATGATTAGAGTTTATCCATGATGATCCAACATTGCATTTGCGGAAACCATTAGGTGGATGTTTCCACCGGACCATGTCTGGAACAACATCCTGCTCACTCATTACATTCCTCCTTAGTGAAAAAGTATCAAACCATGTAGATTCGTCTTCATAGGCCTTTTTAGCGCTGAAAGATGGCTCAATAACCTTCTTCTCAAAAATGAAAACATTTCTAGCTTTCCAAATTTCCCATAGTAACCATGGAAAGATTTTCCTTATATGTATATTTGTCAAAGGGTTCATACTACACTTAACCAGATGTACAAAATTAAAGAAAGTAGAATTTCGAGAAAAACCACCAACGGGTACTGGGAAATTAGCTTGGGACCATGTGTCCTGTGCTTTAACACATGTAAAAAGTACATGACATATACTCTCAGTACCATCACCACACACAGGGCACGTTGGGTCTACAGGAATACCCCGGGTTGTCAACCTTTGTTTAACCGCTAGCGCACCACAGAGTGCCCTCCACATAAAGTGTTTTATTTTCGGTGGAGCTTTGGTTTTCCATATGTCTCTCCATAATTTTTTTTCAACTGGAGAAAGAGATTGACCTTGGGGTTGATCGAAATCTACCAGAGCCTCCAAGAATTTATATCCACTTCGAGTAGAATATAAACCACTTGTTGTATAACCCCATCTGACTGAATCTTCAACGATCAAGGATGGTCTTAAAAGTAAAATCTTTTGAACATCCTGGGCTGCGAAAGTCTGGTGAAGCAAATTCCTATTCCATTGGTTAGAACCCGGGACAAGTAGATCTGAGACTTTTAGCGATAAATTTATTGTGCTATTCTCACGATACATTGGAGGCCGTGGGATGGTGTCAATAATCCAGTTTTCAGCCCAAACATTGGAATTCAATCCATTTCCAATATGCCGATATAATCCTTTTTTGAGTAATTCCCTGCCATGCATGATACTCCTCCATGCATACGACGGACGTGTCCCCATTCCACACTCAAGAAAATCACTATTTTTGAAATATCTTCCTTTAAGTATTCTAGCTACCAAAGAATCAGGCTTATTCCAAATCCTCCAAGCTTGTTTCCCGAGTAGAGCCTGATTGAAACGACATATGTCATGAAACCCAAGACCTCCTTGTTCTTTTGGTTTACATAATTTTTCCCAAGAGACCCATGGGATTTTCCTTTTTTTATCCCCACTACTCCACCAAATCTCAATAATCGCACTCGTAATCCGTTCACAAAGACCCTTTGGTAATCGGAAAACTGACATTGCATATATTGGTAATGCTAAGGCTACCGATTTTATTAGAACTTCCTTGGCCCCCCTTGACAGAGTTTTAGAGTACCATCCCTGTAACCGTCCTTCTAATTTATCTTTAATAAAATTTAGAAGATCTTTTTTTGATCCTTGAAAACACTCAGGGAGACCAAGATATGAACCTTCACCACCTTCCTTCTCTATTCCCAAAACCCTCTTTATTTCATGTTTTGTGTCATCGTTTATTTTATTTCCAAAAATTATTGAAGATTTCGAAGGATTAATCCTTTGACCAGAAGCATCCCCATAAAGTTTCAGCCCTTTTAAAACTTCCTCACTATCCATTACAGAGGCGTCACATAGCAGCAAGCTATCGTCAGCAAACAAGAGATGATGAATAGAGGGACAATTCGTGGCTAACTTTATACCATGTAATTTCCCTTGTGCTTCTGCTCTGTTCAAAACATGGACTAAAGCTTCAGCGCACAAAATAAAAAGAAAGGGTGAGAGAGGATCACCCTGGCGTATTTCTCTTTCCGGTCGAATAAATCCATGTGATCGTCCATTTAGTAACACAGAGAAAGTGACGGTAGAAATGCATGACATAATCCAAGCAACCCATTTACGATCAAAACCCATTTTTTCAAGTAAAACTTCAAGAAAATTCCATTCTACCCGATCATAGGCTTTGGACATATCTGTCTTAATAGCCATACTTTCTTTACAAATTTTCTCATTAGTTCGCAAGCCATGTACCAATTCATGCGCTATAATCACATTGTCAGTAATTAATCTGCCGCCAACAAAAGCCCCTTGAGTTTTCGATATTATATCAGGCATTACCACCTTCATCCGATTACAAAGGATACGAGAAATAATTTTATACTGCACACTGCACAGGCTAATAGGACGCATGTCCTTCATTTCCGTAGGGTGTATAATCTTTGGCAATAAACATAATTGGGTATGATTCCACCCAGCCGGAAGAATTGCAGTTTGGAAAAATCTTTGGACATCCTCAATAATTTTCGATCCAACAATGTGCCAATATTTTTGGTAGAAAAAACCAGTGAGACCATCTTCTCCAGGGGCACTACCACTCTTAATCCCAAAGGCTGCTTTCTTAATTTCATCAATAGAGACCTCTCTAGTTAAGATTGTGTTCATCTCCAAAGATACCCTACTTTCAAACCCCTCAAACAACGTTTCCAAATCACTTGGATTTGAGCTTGTAAATAAATCTCTGAAATAATCCGTAGCAATATGTCCTTTCGAGCCTTCCGAGTAGTGCTCATTTCCAAATATATCCTTAAGTATCAAGATTTTATTTCTCAAACGTTTTCCTTTAACCACATTATGAAAATATGTTGTGTTTCTATCCCCTTCCCTCAGCCATTCCTCCCGACTTTTTTGTCTCCAAAAAATCTCCTCTTCCCGATAAGCCGAAGCCAAATCCTGTCGTAACCTCCTCAGCAATCCGAAATTGGGATACTGTTTTGAGCCCTCTCTATCCAAATCACTTTGCAACCGATCAATTCGTGATTTGGAATTCCAGTCATTAACCTTTTTAAGCTTGGATAATTTTGATCGACAACGCGCAATCCGATCAAGAACACTTAGGTTGGATTGAACGTTATCAGCATCCCATCCCCGCATAATGGCATCCTCAACTCCCCGCTTCCCATACATACGTTTGTCGAAATAAAAGCGACCTCTATTCAAATTTTCTGGCTCAAGAGCGAACTCTATACGTATAGGTCGATGATCAGAAGGCCACATACTCATATAGTCAGTAGATGATTGAGGAAATAGACGAAACCATTCACCATTCCCAAAACTCCGATCTAGACGACATTGGACCCAACTATTATCTCGCCTGCCTGCCCATGATAGCGTATTCCCTGTTGTCCGCATCTCCCTAATTTTACATGCTTCCGCCATATTCCGGAAATCAAAAAAAGTTGTTTCCTCTCTACTAGCCCCTCCCAATTTTTCACCGTTGTGCATTAGTTCGTTGAAATCCCCTACCAGAACCCATGCCTCATCTCTAAGCGGTGTGTCTAGTCTATTATATTAAAAGAGAAATAACAACTTCTCTTCATGTATGATTTTTTAAAAATGGACCATTCCTAAGAAAAGTTGTTACCTTATCTTTTGTATTTATATAATAAAATCTTAACAACCAAATTTAATTTCCATTTTCATTCTCTCAATACATAAGAACATCTTAAAATTAATAATACATTTATATAAACATTTAAATACATGTTCAACGTTAAAAAATATATATCACTAATGTCATAAAATAAATAACATATATAACATATGTATATTAAACTGAAAATAACACCCTTGCAGTTGTGCGGGTAAAGATGTAGTTTATAGTTAAAATAACTGTAACATGTATAATTCATAGTCAAATACACAATTTTAAATATTTACATTTTGATCGGGTGATTTGATTGTGTGTACATCGACGTGGCATTGTTTGATACACATGTAAAAACCCTATAAAGAAGGAGACCCAAATAAATTCTAAAAAGGTACTTCTAAGAATCTTGGCCCGTGACAGGTGAATGATTGGGAATATGTATGATAGGTGCACCACAAAATATATATAATTTTAATACTTCTCTTTTTTTTCCGAGGGAAATATGATAAGTGCACCACAAATAGATATAATTTTAATTATCTAGCGGGAAATTTTATTTTTATCACATTTCCACTAAAAGTTGAGGTATCCCACTTGAAAATACTGTAAAACATCTTTAACGTATACAAACAGTATCATGGTATAGAACTAAAGTTTATTTC